GAAAGTGGGCCTAAAATGCATATAAATCTTCCCCCTTGCAGCTGCTTCTTGTTCAACTTCAGCAAAATTTGCTTAATTAAGATTTGAGATTTTACGATAGGTTTCCCCTTCTACTTAAAGCTCAAGTGACTCTGTGAATCTTATAGATATATGGGAGTCTTTGAAACCTCAGACAAAGGCTCTAGAAGTTTTATCAACAGATCTTGCTGACTTGTGTACTACTTACCTTTTTTTCATTTTATCCAATCCAACAGGCTTGATTTGTCCTTAAGGGCACATGGAATTTATAATTAATTCCAGGTCCTGATGACAGGCACTTCTGAGGTTTTCCTATGTCTCCTGTCACATGCTTTTCTTTCTTTCTTTCTTTCTTTCTTTCTTTCTTTCTTTCTTTCTCTATTACAATCAGGCAATGGGGGAGAGGCTACTTGTGGAATGCTGTCCAGCTTTGCTTATAGGATGTTAAACCCAGAGAACTAAGATTTGCCCTCAAAAGGCCAATGAAGACATCAACAGCTTTTCAAACTTGATAGCTGCTACCTCAAAAAAGAAAAAGAAAACTTTACACAAATACTAAATTAAGAACACACTTATGCGCACAAAGAATTCTCATTATTTCTACATGCATCTAAATTGAGTGGTCCTGAGCAGACAGTGGGAAATGTAACAACATCCCAGAAGGCCAGGCCCACAGATCCAAATACGTGCAACCAGGAGCTCCTCTGGGTCCCTGCCAAGGGTCTCAGGAGCCCTAGATGCCTCACCAAAGGTCAATTGCAGAAGGAGCACAAATTGAAGTAGGGGAGAGTGGGAACAGCAAGACAACTTGGAAAGGGTGTGTCTTAATTAGGGTTTCTATTGCTGTGATGAAACGCCATGACCAAAAAGCAATTTGGGGAGGAAAGGGTGTACATGGGTTATACTTCCACACTGTAGTCTATCACTGAAGGAAGCTAGGACAGGAACTCAAAACAGGGCAGCACCTGGAGACAGGACCTGATGCAGAGGCCATGGAGGGGCGCTGCTTACTGGCTTGCTTCCCATGGCTTACTCAGCAGACTTTTTTTTATAGAACATAGGTCCACCAGCCCAGGCATAGCACCACTCACAATGGGCTGGGCCCTTCCCCACCAATCACTAATTAAGAAAAGGTGGATTTCATGGAGGCATTCTCTCAACCGAGGTTCCCTCCTTTCAGATAACTAACTTGTGTCAAGTTAACCTAAGACTAGCCAGCACAGGGTGTTACTTAAGAAAACATTAGTCCCAAGGGCTGCTACCCGAAGCTCTCCTGTCTATTTAAGGAGAGACCGAAAGACACCAGGCCATGTGGCATGTCTATTCAGACTTGCCTTAGTTGATGGGAACCAATTTAAATATAAGTTCCTAATCCCAGAAGTTCAACTGTGTGGGCAGCTGTCACACTTGACAAGCTAATCTGTTACAGAGTGTCACTTATGTAATAGTGGGAAATAGCGTTGTAAGCAGCACCTTAGGATATACCGCCTTTGACGGGACGTTTTCTTCCCAGGATCTGAGGTCTATAAGCTGTATTGAGAAAATGTACTACTGTGCAAAATGAAAAGTGATGAGATCGGGTAGGGGAAGCCTCTTGGTGGTTAAGCGCTGTCACACTGTCCTTCCAGAGCTGGGGAGCTTCGTGTTCTCTTTCAACGTAATTAGGCTCTTACAGGATGAGCCTGAAGCTATAGGAATGCTGCCACTCTGCTATCACTGTCCAGGTTCTTGTGTTCACCTGCCACCACTCTGTTGTAACTATTAGCACTGTTCGTGTTCATTTGTGTTACAGATTTTGCAACAGGATTGCTTCTGAATATTTAGATCTACACTGTTTTAAAGCTATATTTGATTTTCATAAACTGTTCTTGGAGCCCCAGTTTCCATACCTTCTCTGTTTTGTATCATGACCTTGTTAACTTCTTCATCCCAGATAACTGTGCCATTTCCTACTCCTTTCTAGCCTGCATCCAGTTCAACACTGGGAAGGAACTTCTATTCCCAAACCTGTGGCAGCTGCCACTGCAGCTGCTATAAGAAGCCTGGACCCTTGTAGTCACACTATTGAGGGCTCCCAAACCTCTCTTCCGAATTCCAGAGTCATTCACACATTTGCCTTCACAAACTCAAGATAGCTAAGATCTTCAACTTATGACCCGGACCAACTTTTGTTTTATTTATTTTGTTTTTTTTCGAGACAGAGTTTCTCTGTGTAGCTTTGTAGACCAGGCTGGCCTTGAACTCACAGAGATCTGCCTGCCTCTGCCTCCCGAGTGCTGGGATTAAGGGCGTGCACCACCACTGCCAGGCCCAAACCGACTTTTGATGTGTGAACAAGCACTCCAGGAAAGAACCTGCCGACTGAGTTGAACCGGGATGTGGAGAGCCTGGGTGTTCTAAGCCCAAAGGCTGATTACAATTTATCTTGGCTATTTTAGTTCCCTCTTGTCCACGTCTGTGTAGGACCCAATATCCTAACAGATTTTTTAAAAATCCCGTGGGATAAATTAGAAAAACAAAAACACAGTTTTCCAATCAAAGGGCTAAGTGTTGTCAGACAGCATCGGAGGCCTGTAGCAGAGCTGTCCCCGTCTTCCTATAACCCACCTACTTGACATGTCCACCAATGTATTTGAAAAGTGTCTTGATTCATGACTGACTTTCTTTGTTCTGTTATTATAAAAAGTTCATAAAATCGCTACCTCATTGGAACATGGAATTTGGGGTAACTAAATGTGTACTCCAGGGCAATGCTCACTCACATTTGGCTCCACAATAAACTCTCTCTTGCCCTTTGAGATGAGAGCTGTCTTTATGTAGACAGAGCTATGTCTACTGTTGGCAATACCTCCCATCTTGGCTGGTATCACTCCATCTTTCCTGTTTTCAGGCCCAAACAACAGATGTCACACTTTGGTGGGTCCTGGTGGTCATTACATCTTGGCTAGATTTTAGTCATAGGCTCCAATCCTCCGGCTCTGCCCACAGGACACTCAGAACAGCCTTTCCTAACCACTAGCGGCTCGTGCCACTCACTTGCCGAAAACAAATGGCTCCTTACTGCAGAGTAAAAGTTCTTAAAATGGTCCCATTATAATACATGTGTGTGTTCTCTCATCATCATGAGGATCCCCCTCAGGGCTTTTATATTCCCACGTTTCTCTATTCCTCCAAGAAGGCACTGACTAGCTTCGATCCAGACTGTCTTTTTTAAAGTGTTCAGATCCCGATCAAAGTAAAATATTTTCCCCTCCTGAGCGCAATTCTGATTTATTTCCTGTCCAGTGTAACAAGGATAATGTCTCTCTTAAAGGACAAGGAAGTCTCCTTGCTATCCAAATAAAGCATTTGGGCTACCCGAGTTTGGGGTTACTCATGTATGACAAAAATCCACTGAGGATGCAGCAGCCACTGGCCTCTTGTGTCACTCACTGGATGGAATCCATGCTCACAGCAGGCTGAATTCAATAGCTAACAAGACAGCCTTTCTGCTAACTTCCCACCTAACTTCTAAGCTCCCCATTCCCTCCAGGCCACTTACACAACTGTTCATGACTCTAGAACATGTAAGGTGCAGCGTTTGTTAAAGCCTTCCGTGTCTCATGGGCCTGAAATATGCTCCCCTAGATCTCTGTTAGCTGTGCTCCTGACCAAGTGTGCTTTCTGGTTTCACCCTTTCAGGGAGAAGATCATTCACAACCACAGCTAATCCTCTTCCCCTCCTTAACCTTCCCAGTTCCCTTTATTAACTCTATTTTTTTTTCTATTTCAATTAACAACATCTACAGAAGGCAGGGCAATTGAATGCCTTTAAAGAACCAGATAATAAGCATTTTTAAGTTTGAAGGCCTTAAGGTTCCTGCTAACATGGCTTCATTGTAGTGGGAGAGCAGTAATAGATAATATGCTAGTAAGTGATAATGGCCATGTTCTAATAACACACTTGAAAAAAAAAAAAAAAAAACTGGCAGCCTGCCCGAGGGTTATAGATGATCAGTCCCTGTTAGAAAAATCTTCTCAGCTTCTCATTCTACTGGCCAACAAGCTCCATAAAAGGAGCAATCTTGTTTTACCGATGGCCCTGGCTGGCCCGGAACCATGGAACAGAGATCTGCCAAGAATTAATGTATTTGCAGATCTATTGTCTACACACACACACACACACACACACACACACACACACGGCTCTCGCGTCAAAGGGAGTAAGATAGCTTAATTCTAGAGCCAAATTTGAGTGACCAAGATCTAGAAATACATATTTAGGTCTCTCCAAATTCCAAAGGACATGTTAGAATGGCCAAAGAATGATGACAAGGCACAATCAACCTACTCATCACCCTCATTTTCTAATTTCCTGAGACCACATCTAGACTGCACTTCTCCATCTCTTCTGTTAGCAAGTGAAACAAAAGACTACATTCTATACAGGGGGGTTGGCTTGTGCTGCAGAAAAAAGGACTTGATATTAGACTAGTCCACTGTGTTTCTTGCACGTCCCTTGATGGTTCTTAACACTGAATGGAGTGGAAGAGTCATTCCTATTTTACATTAGATTTGAGTGGAGTTTGGCACAGTTAAATGGTTTGATGGAGAAATTGCATGCAATGATCTAGACAAGTCTAATCTACATATATACCTGCTTTTTGGAGACAAGCACTCTGTCCACCCTGCTACAACAGACGCTTCAAGTGGACTGTCAGCAGCTAGTTTAAACTCCTGGGCATCTTAAAAAAATCATACGAAGATGAAAGAGATGGCAAACACTCCCTCCCTCCCTCCCTCAGGGTAAATGATCTATACCATTTCGTTTAGCCAAGAACATGGCTTTAAAAAGAGCCTTCACACCTGTCTATAAGGTTGGGGGGAGAAAAAAGGAAGTTTCACCAAAAAACAAAAAGTCAAGCCTATATCACATGGCAATTAAAGGCCAGCCAAATGGATGTTAATTCCAGCTTTCACATGTAGATCAACCAGAACAAGACTGTAATTCCATCAAGTGTCATTTATTTAAATAACAAATCAATTGCACATTGTAGGTAACCTGGTTATAGCAATATGAAAATATAGAATTCTGAAAACAATCTGGCAACTCAAATATGTATCTAATAACACAGAGTCTTCTATAAGATACAAAGGAGGGAAAAGGAAACACTGACTTTCAAATTGATTTATTTGCACTTAAAAATACAATTTCTAATATGACATCTGTTTTCAAAACTGTCTAAAGTGTAAAAATAGAAACAGGAACTGTTGTCTTCATGTTGAAAATTTAAATCTTTATCTACATTCACTACACATCACAGATGATACCATTGACACAAAATCAGCATACAAAGTCATGGGAACACATGAAAACTATAGTTCACACTTTTCTTCTTCCTCCTCCTTGACTAATGGAAAACTTTCTAAATGGTCTCTTTCCCTCTCTAGGACCTGAACCTAAAACCCATTGATTAGCAGATGGATGTTGATAACACATTCACTTTACAAAGAGTCCTAACCTCTTCAAGTTCTACAATGGTTTTCCTCTGTAAGACTGACTGCTGAAAATAAACTACAGGCCATGCTCAAGTAACATGGGGAAAGGAGGCCAGGACAAGACACCTCCAAGTCTGAGCAGCATGACACTGAATCCTAAATACAAATGGGAGCCTGACTGATTCAACTGAAAACTCCAAATTAGTTTACAGTTGCCTTTATTTTGCTTAATCCAAAAATAAGTGAAAGGCAAATGTTACCATGAAGGCCTCTTACAAGCCAGAGAGAAGACAGGTTTACTTTTTGAGTAAAAAGTAAAAAGAAAAAAAAAAATTCTCAAAAGACAAACACCTACAAAGTAAACTGGCTTTGGAAATAAGTTGTACAATAAAATAATACATCTCAATTATTAAATATATATGCCTTTGTATATAACTTGCATCAAAAATTAAGTATTCTATGAACATCTGCAATAAATATTTTAAAATAGTAATCTATAAAGAGACAGTTAATATTCATTCAGGTGTTCAGAAGCTGACAGAAAAAAATAAACACTTAGCTCTAGAATCCCCCATGATATGGTAACTGAGTGCAGCACACTGTTAACTGTTAACTGCCTTCCTATACAGCACGTGTCTGTCTCTGTAAATCTTGGGTAATCTGGACCCAACAGTGCTATTTTCTTACATCATTAAATAGAACCAAAAGCCTGAGATTTAAAATGTTTACCACAATCTCTCTCAAATTACTTCCTTAAAAATAAATCACCTAGGCTGAGTGCTCAGTGGTCCAGTGCTTACTTAGCAGTGTGCCAGTACCCTTGGTTTATGCCCTGGGACAGGAGTGGGCAAGAGGAGAGCCATACAGAAAGCATGTAACTGTCTACTGTGGGGAAGGAAGGAAGGAAGGAAGGAAGGAAGGAAGGAAGGAAGGAAGGAAGGAAGGAAGGAAGGAAGGAAGTAAATAAGGGAACTTGTGAAGACTTATTTATATGCATTTATTAGCTCCAAAATTGCGGCCTGGGCATTCTACTCTATTAAAGACAAGACTATAGTTAGAAGTCTGTATAATTCCTCAAGCAGAATATATCACATCTTCAAACTGAGTATACTTCAAGCTCAAAATGATGCAATTCCTTCAAAATTAAATGCAAGTAATATTCTTTAATGTGTTCAGGTACTCTCATTACCAGTTCTGTTTCACTGAAAACAATTTCTTTCTATTTTCTTTTGGTACCCAAATAAATAAGACTTTTAATTCAGCCCTAAGGGGGGGGGAGTTAAGGTGCAATAAAAAAAAGTTAAGGTGCAGTAAAAAAAAGTTAAGATGCATACAATGTAATATGCACATGTCCTAAGTTCATCCTTTAGCTATACAGTCTAAGAACTACTGAGTTAGCATACAAGGTACACTATGTCTTTACTATAGTCTGTTACTACTGTACCTTGATTTTTCCTATTGGATATTCCACCTGGGGCTGAGGATGTGGCTCAGTTGTGGAGCACTTACAAGACATACACCAGCCCTCGGGGTTCCATTTCTAGCACCACAAAAATAATAAAATAAAGCAAAATAAAATTCAAGCTGCAGGCATGTACAAAAGTCTTTATTATTTAAACACAATGAGGCATCTGCTTTGATCTTTGCACACCTCTCTGTTGCAGTGTAACTGTGATGAACACATGTTACTATGTACTACACACAGGAGGGCACAGGGCTTAGTCTTCTTATTCTATATATCCTCTGAATGGTTCAGGCTGAGAACCTGCTCAGCCATCTCAATACAAGATAGTTCCTCTGTCACTTCTTTCTGAAGTAATGGAGTAAATGGACTGGAATGGACTTAAATATGTTCCCACATATGAACGTCTGTCCAGATCAGATGTAGCCACTCAACACGAACCCCAGCTTCCTTGATGATAGAGTCTGATGGGCCCTTTACATCACATTTCAAGTTCAACATTCTAATAAAAGCTAACAGCAAATGTACAATAGACCAAAATATGAACTAGGGAGGGAGGATTCTAGAAATATAATACATACAGAAAAATATGCAAATAATTGGGCTGTGGGAGAACTATTTAGAGAAATCCTTCCACTCTTTAAAGGGCATGAAGAATTTGCCAATATGGACTGTTTTCTATTACTCATCTATAGACCAGTCTAACTTATCTATAGACCAGTCTACTGATACATTAGCTCTATCACTGTATCTAATAAAGAGGTGCTTAAAGAGATCAAAATTTATATTTTTGTATATCATAATATACACACACTCATAATACTCACAAAAGGCAACTGGAAGGCATAAAATATTTAAATTTAGATAAATCATCTTCCATTTTATTCCTTAAGTGGATAAATTGTGCCTAACAATTTTTAAGTAGTATATTGGACTAGCTACGAGGGTCAATGTTAGCATGTTGATAATGTAAAAGTATCACAAAGGGTTCACTAAATTTTTCAGAAATTATCCTATTCCTGAAATCTACCTAACTATTGTCACATGCAAAGATAGTTTATAAAATAAGACTAACCTAGCAATCTTAAAAATAAGGACTTTTAGATGGGCACACAGGAGTTCACAGGGGCATGAGGCGGGTGAGACCAACCTTCATCTGTTAAGGGCACTTAAACAGAAAAAGTAAACCACTGAGAGAGATTTGAAACAAGATGATACAACAGATGAGGAACGGGCAGTCACAGCAGAGAGCAATCAAATGCCAGAATGCCAGGGGGCAAGAACCCAGGGAGCCTCTGGGAACTGCTGCAGGCAAGAAAGAAGGTCCCACCGCCCATGGCCATTTCAGAAGTGGAGCAGCCACAGCTGACAAGTGGCTAGTACACCTGACAGAGGAGAGCAGAAGAAGAATACGTTCAAAGGGTGAAAAGGACAAAATAATTTTCTAAGATCCAGACCTGATGAATTACAAACGTTTAGGATTCCAATCGCCGGAAACTGCATTAACTAAACTCAACCAAATGCACCATAATCGGTGACTCAGGAATACAGAGAAACAAAGGGATTAGAAAGAAATAGAAAAAATGAAATGTCTAGAGAATTAACCAGAATAATTCCAGAATTAATTTTTCCACTTGGTCCTTGTTACTCTTATTGTCCAGGGAATGGGACTCTACTCAAGAAGATCGATAGACTTCACAGGGATGGAGATGATACACAATCAGATGTGTCCATCACAATAGAATGACTGACAAAAGAACACGCACTTCTATTTCAAGAGGAGGCACTCACTTTTCACCCTTCCACACCACAGGTTTTAAGCCCTGATCAAAAAATTGAAGAATAACCTAACCTCCAACTCAATTAACCCAGGCACTCAGACCAGGGAGGAATGACAGTCACCCAGTACTGCTCTCCAAGGAGCTGGTTGGACCATTGGATTGCTCTAAGGGCTACAGATTGCCCTTCACACCTAGGAATCTAGAATTTATCTCCCTGTAGCTCATACCCACTGTCTTCCCCTGTCCTCAAGACAGATGGAAAGCCACTGTCTGTTCTGTAACTTGGGAATGTGTCTTATATGCAGGAAGAGCAAGCGTTCAAACATACACAGGAGTTGGTGTAGTTAACCTTCCAGGTTTTCCTACTCACCACAGCTCTGAAACACATCCTTTATACTTACAAAGCACCAATCAGAACACTGACTCGCTATTTAAAAATAAACAGAGGTAATTTTGCTATACAAACTGTCATTAGACGAACTGGAAACCTAACCCACTACTTGTGCCTCTCAAAAAGACAATTAGATAAATTGTTGTGTCTTGGGCACTTGCTCTCCACAAAACGTCCTAAATCAAAAGACACATTTTGAAAGATGACCCTTACAAACATCCTAAGAAATTGGTGCTGGTACAGTATCTTGAACATGACAGGAAATGGATAAATGTCTGTGGCATTAATTCTATTGCAGCATTTATAAAGCCACTAGATAGATGGTCCACACTGCTAACTGCCAAAGAGCATATGAGTAATAAAAACAAGAAAACCACAAAACAAAAAAAAATGGCACAGGTGAACTTGTTTGATAATGTAAAAGTCGTCATTTAAAAATGATTATCTACTTAAGTGTATGTGTGTGTTTCTTCTATGTGAACATATGCCATGTTTGTTCAAGTGCCTACGGAGGCCAGCAGGGGGTGTTGGGTCTTCTGAAGTTACACACAGTTGAGAACTGCCTGACATGGGTGCAGGGAAACAAGTGCTGGTCCTCTAGAAAAGCAGGAAGTGCTCTTAACTGCTGAGCCACCTCTACAGCCCCTAACATGGTCATTTTTAAGCTTAATTTTTCTTATTTTATACCAAAATGGGAATTTATTGTTACAGACCATGAGCTCTGCCGGTTTCTCACAAAATATGGGTAATATTCTTTTTGTTTATTTTTCTTTTTGGAGACATGGTTTAACTATGTAGCTCTGGCTGGCCTGAAACTCGCTATGTAGACCTGGATGGCCTCAAACTCAGAGTTCTACCTACCCCTGCCTCCCAAGTGCTGGGATTAAGTAAAGGAATGTGCTACCACACCCAGCTATAGTCTTTAATGACTTTATATGCTTTTAAAATAATGTTATCAAAGCTCTTCTAAAGAATTTATACACTTTTCTTCCAAGTTTTATATATAATTATTGAACATATTTCTATAGTAGCATTACAATGTGTTTCCCCTTCCATCTGTAGCTAGTTGTATAATTCATATTAATGTGATATAATGATATCTGCCCCCAAGTTATTGAGTCAGGGATGGTCCTCTGACTCAAAGTGCATTAATCAGCTCTTTCAATAAATATTTCCTCGATGTTGATCAAGAAATGGTACCTTAAGTAACCCAATACCAATGCCTGCTGAGCATGGGGACTGAAGTAGGGGACAGAGGAACAACTCCATAATGTAAGCTACTGTCAGTGCTAAATGCATGAACTGAAAGGCTTCTGAATGCCCACATTCATTTCATTTTATAGCAGAGACCAAATATGCAGCAGATACTTCTTTATAGGTACTGTAATCCATGCACAGAGCCATAATTATCAGAATCACACATATGTATAAAGCCTCCCCAGGGTACAGAAAACTACCGAATGTACCATCTAACTGAGGCCTCAGAGCAAGGAGTGCTACCTTGTTATTCCCACTGGAAAACCCAAGTCCTAGAAAGGGTAAGTTATTTGTTTTGTGTTGTTAAGTATTCACCAACCGAGAGAGACTCCTAACTACAAACCTGGGCTCTGTCTGGTAAAGGTGGAACCAATGTCACCTAGACAAGTAAATGGGACAAAATCCCAGATTCATGGACTCATGAACTGTTTTTCCTCACTGGATGGAATCTGGACCTTAGCTGTAACACCGACCATAGGCAGTGGATTGGGTGGAGGGGGAGGTGGGTTGAAAAAAAACACTACAAAACATTCTAAATGGGAAGAGTGTAGATAAATGCTAAACACTGTTGAAAATACCTAATACACAACAGATTCACGGTTCTAAAACTCAAAGAGACCATTAATGTCACCTGTTCTTTTTCTAGTTCACAAATGAGAAAGACACAGTGATTAACAGATATGGGAACTCCAGAAAAGTCATCTGCTCACCAGTAGCAGAGCCTGGCTCATCCAGCTCCATGCTCTAGTTCTGGTTCCTACTCAGAGAACCAAAACATAGCCCAGATGTTAAAAATCAAAAACAAAAACAAAAATACATTAGCACTGGGCCAGCCACATCCTAAGTGTAAAAATGAGTGATGTTTTACATACCACTTAAAGCAACAGGGACTTTTCCTTACTATAAGAAAAGCAGTCATAGCCTATATTTCAGGCTCAGCACTAAGGTTAGAGAATTCTAAAATACAGCTTTTTTTACCCATAGATACATAAGAAATGTGTCTGTATGGTTGAGTGCTATTACTGAATCAGATATGAGTACATTCAAAAACAGGATCGTTCTGAAAAACTTTCATTTCAACCACTGAGACAGTGGAAACCCGAGAGCTGACAACTGCATCACCCTGTAGAGACGCAGGCCCTTCAGCCTAGGAATATGTCACCCCTCGGGCCCTCTGCTTCTCTCTTCCAGAACTTCAGAAACCCACTGCTATATTATTTTAGATGTGATATTTATTTCTGCTCTGATTTAAATACTAAGCAATAAAATATCTCTGAAGTTTAAAGGACAAGCCAATCTAAAAATGGCTTAGCTTATAAAGCCATTTGCTACTTGAACAATATTAATTTTCACATTAAAAAAATAAATAATCTAACTAGACTTTATTGTACCTGTCAGTCTTTTAAAAAGACTTCACCCCTCAATTGAAATCTAATGTGAAATTCTTTTTAAAGGCAGAGTATAAGAATTTCTATACAATATTGGATGTCATTCCATAGGGGAAAGTATGTAGACCAACAGTAAGCCACTCAGGAGACAGGAAGTGCCTGACAATAGTTTCCCTCATGCTTCCACCTTGGCCAGGACTGATCTCCATAGCAAGAGTCCATGTTGTTTGGGAGGATTCCATCCTGTACATTCCAGTCAGTCTGAAGATGGCTTTTTCCAGAGATGAAGGGCTGCTTGAATTCTGAAGTGTAGTCTAGACTCCAAGGAGTAATCTTTGTAGTTGTTTCTGAAGACAATGAAGAATAAAATTGTACAGTCAGCATTTCTCTGTCTAGCAGGGTACCACCACCCCTCCAATTCTGGGTTTCCAGAAGCTTCCCCTGTGGTGACTGAAAAGGCCATGCTTTGAGTTGCAGCATTCTAATTACCAAACCACAACTATAGCAAGGTTGTGAGGGCATGGCATATTTTCTTAACTATTGCTAAATGGTTCAACTTGTATTTTTAGAGGAAAATGTAAAGTCAGGTTTACATAATACAATGGTCACAAACAACCCATTATTCAACACAAGAAAAGTACCTTGAAACCCACCTGAAACTACTCTAACAAAGACAGCAGGGTCACCTTGTGATCCCAAAATCATTTATTCCAGTTCTCATGCAAGTTATCAGTGGTTTTGTCACTAATGACACAATCAGACCAGTTTGAGAAAGGGCAGCAAGCAGACAAAGGGTGAAACTCAGTGAGAAGGCCAGGGGTGGAACACAGTGGCAGAGAAATTGCCTGGCACACAGAGAATCCAAGGTCAATCTGCAATACCACAGAAAAGCAGGGAGCACAAAATCCAAACATTACTTGAAAATTTGACTATAGTGGTTTAAATGAAAATTGCCCCAAAGGCTCTTAGGGAGTGGCACTATTAGGAGGTGTGGCCTTGTTGGACGAAGTGTGTTAGTGGGGGTGAGTTCTGAGGTTTCAAAATACTCAAGCCGGGCCCAGTATCTCTCTTCCTGCTGCCTGCAGATCTGGATGTTACTTCTCCAGCACGATGTCTGCCTGTGTGCCACCATGACCATAATGGACTAAACCTCTGAACTGTAAATTAGCCCCAATTAAATGTTTTCCTTTATAAGAGTTTCTGTGGTCCTGGTGTCTCTTTACAGCAACAGAAACCCTAAGACAATGATTTAAATATTTCATGTTGACCTTGCCTTGCTAAATTGTTAGGAATTGGCAAAACGGATGGAACCGCTTCAATTTAAGTCTCCTGGTTTCAAACCCTGCCTTGGCAGACAGGCAGTCAATGCCTGCTTTGAAGCAGTGTTTCTATCTTTTTTTAAAATTTAAACACACTTTCTTGGTCACTTTGATGAGTATTAGTACACTGTTGCTCACAGATTAAAATGAACCTCTTTACTAAGATTTACCAAAGAACGAGTATTTTTTCAATTTCTGGCCACTTTGAAAAGCCCATGCTATGAAGGGGAACTGGAGACAGACACAGTCCTGAAATGACGGGAGAGTATGTTTATGTTTGCCCTATCGGTACTGTCTGGGTTAGTGGTGGCTTTGAGTGCTTTTCAACGGTAAAGAACTGTCTTTCCGCATCACCTGCTGCTCCATCTGTACTGAGTATCTCTGACTATGTTCCAACAGTGAACATCTGAAGCAGCAGTGAGCACAGTGCAGTGTCCCCACAGCCCCTCTGAAGAAGCACAGTGCAGTGTCCCCACAGCCCCTCTGAAGATTCACAGACACCAAAGCTGAAACATCAGCTGTCCTCATGTCCAACAAATTACCTCATAAAGTGGTTTCTTCCTACACTGTCCATTTCTCTTTTAGGGAGAAATTGATGGCACCATGTCCCTCAGGCTTCTTCCCCCATTACACTCTATTCACAGCAAACACCCCTAACACCTTACCACAGCAGCTGATTCCATTCCTCTCCTCACCTCCCTGTCAAGGTTACACACTATCTCTATAGTTTTGGTATTATGTCCCTCAACTTCTTGGCAGCTGCACTCATTAGCAACCATTCTCAGGATTTTCAGATGTTTGGCTTTTCATATTTGAATGCTTCTTAGCTGATAATCAGTTGTATGAATGCAGAGATTTCATCATTACTTTTGGATGTGTATATGATGTATGGTGGCCTATGCGTGCCACAGAGTCTGTGAGCAGGTCAGAGGACAACTCTGTGGGGTTGGTTCTTTCCTTCTACCTTTATGTAGGTTCTGAGAATAGAACTCAGGTCTTCATGTTTGTGGACAAGTTCTTAACTCTCTGAGCCACGTGTTGCACTTGACTGTTTCGAACACCTACCTTGTTCATGTGTAGAAAACCTTGACATGTATAGAAAATTAACAACTTGCCATCCACTTAACTCCACTTAGTCTTATCTTTGTCTTCAAATCTTACAGCTTAATCCTGGGACTGGAATGTTCCAGGCACTGTCCAAGACCTCCATCTCCTGCTCTGTAGCTTAACCACCTCAGGGATAATGGTTTTGATCAACACTCTCTCTGTGCTGGGGAATTCGGTTTGTATCCATGTGGCCTGGACTTTAGCACTGAACACGGCTGCACATCTCATCTCCAGCTCACCCTCTCCATGTAGATATCTAGCAGCCACCTCCAAGTATTACAGCCCTGAGTGGTGTCTCTTTCTTCTCAAAACCCTGTTGCTCTGAGTGTTTGCCAGTCAGGAGAAAGCACCACTATCCACCTACCAACCAAACTACAGACACATCTTGTGCACACATAACATCTCTAGGTAGCCACAGAGCAATAGGCTGAGAGTCTTGAAACAGTACAACTACAGCAAAAGCCCATGCTCAAAAATAAACCCAAGTTAGCAAAAGCAGTCACGCTAACTGGCATTAACTCATTAGCTTCATGGAGTATGATGTCACTGCTGCTGTCGAATTGGCACTGATGTCTCCCACTCCATGTCACCAGGACAAGTCACCTTCAATACTCACCTTGCAGTTTCTAGGGCCTTTATGGCCTTGTCAATTTCCCCTTGGCTTTTATACAAAAATGCCAACTCAAACAGAGTGAATGGCACCAGATAATGGTCATACTTCAGTAGCTTTTCACTAAAAGGACAAATGAAAATCAATTAAGTCTTAACAAAACACAAGAAGTATCATTTGAAACAGGTATCATTCTTCATTTCCCAGACAACATTAAGACTATCACCAGAGGAAGGCTGTTGTTCCCACAGATATGGTCCTTAACAACCTATGGAATGGAGTACACTTCCATACACTAATCTTTTGTTCCTTAAAGTACAGCCAGCACCAATATGGCACTGCCTCTCAGGCAGATCTACACACACAGACCTTCAAGATGAACCTAGAGAGGACAAGATCACCTTCCTGAGCATGTGACTCTAAATTCAGTAATAAGGAAGTCTCATTAGTTTTGCATTTAACAAAGCATCAATTTCCTTCATACATAATCTTAGAATTCTTCAAACCGTCAATGACTACGTGGCTGGCAGTCTGGTTTCAGCATCATTATGAAATCCTAGAAGTTCAGGAAAAAGCCTGAGTAACAAACAGTCTTTTAAATCTAGAGCAAATTGTGTCTCTAATGCTAACTGCAATGGATTTTTTATTTTTTGTGTTGGATAAGTATATGAAACTATACTGGTTATTAAAAGCATAAAATCTAATGGGAAACCCCATAGCTTCTATTTCGAATAGCTATTCTGACTATTCACTGATTTGTATAGTTTCTGTGCCAGGTTAACTTTAGTTAATTTTTAATAAATTTGTAATTTTTAAAATAAAGTTAAAATAAATTAAACATAATGACAATAATCCATAGCTCAGTTTACCAGGCTATCACCCAAACTACTCTCAGATGCCAAGGAGAAGCAAGAGCAAGACTAGCTGTGCTAATGAGCCCTGGGGTCTGCAGACAGACCTGAGACTTTGAGTCTCTGTGGTCATGGGGACGATGAGGCCCTAGACACAGAAAGCAGGTGGCTGGAGCTGACACCTTAAGCTTGGAATGTAGAATCTGTGCTTTGGAGAAAGCTCATTAGAAGAAACCCACTCACAGGCAAAGAACAAGACAGGGATGATAGTCTCCTTTTGCCTGCACTTTTGACATAAAGAAAAAACAAAACACATCTCTTTGAAACTTAACAACAAATTGGCCAGCCCTCCCAGACATTTGCAATTCAAATTTACATTGCTCAAGAAATGCAAAAACTGTTAAACATGACAGTGGCCTCTAAGTAGGGTAGGAAAACTCTTCCACAGCTTAACCCCACTGAAGGTGATGTCCCAATGCAAACACTGAAGCACAGAAGCAAATGACACCCTGTGAGAGTCAATAAAACAAAGCAAGCAGCACACAGGGTCACTGTTGTCACTGGCCCTTGAACCTTATGAAAACACCAGTAAACCAGAATTGTACGTATAGTTCTTTAGTATGTTCACCAAATACAGTGACCTGCCTTATTTGGGAACTAGATACTGTGTCCTATATTCTCATAAATACTGTCATGAGTAAGGACACTGTATGGCCTCCATCTTTACGGCTTGCAGTGTTTTCAAAAACACCGAGCCAATGTCTGTTTAAAACTCAGGAGATCTGACATTAGATGCAACTTCTAGCTTCTTTATGACAATGGCAGGGGCCACTGTTACTGGGCCCACATTGTACAAAGTGAACAGTTACATCCCTTAGGGAGGCATCTACCCTTGCTCCAATTCGCATCAGGGCAGCACTGTCATTGCTATAAAAAAAGATCACCATACATACAAGAAATGGGTCATCTTTAAACACTGAGTAGAAATATATAAAGCCACATCCCATGCAGACTGTAGCTTTGTTTGTGATACAGGCTTGGCACATCACTTTGTCCCAGAAATTCCCCTGAAACCACAACTTCTACCCAAGCTGGCTCTTACCTTTCTAAAATGTGGTTGAAACACAGCTCAGCTTGCAAGGGCCGCTGTAAGTTCTTGAGGCAGCATCCTTTCAGTAATTTCACCAAGCACTCATCATCCACAGAGTCAGCAAAGTCTTAAAACAACAAGAAGCCAACAAAAGGGGAAATTTTCATTGTTTTTTGTGGTGCCTGGGATGAGTGCTAGCGCCTCATCCATACAAGGCAAACACTGAGCTGCCATGCCAGCACAAAAGTATTTTCCAAAAATCCTAATTGAGAGGAAAACTAATCACTGTTGGGTTTTAGGGGGACCATTAAAAAACAAGTTTACTAACCTACTATATAAAACACAATGAAAACACTCACTCAGAAGAACACTGAACTTACTCATTCTACACCATTCATTAAAGGGGATATCACAGGCAGGTTTTTCAGGTGGTCACAGTGAATTCTGCTACTGCTACCTTAACTACAACAGGAAATCTGAACTCTAAATAAAGAATGAGCTTCATTAATTCTCTCGGAGGTAAAGAGGAGGAACCAGGCTGTCTCCTCCTGTTGTTTTGGCTTCTAACCATGCTGGCGTCCGCACAGAGGAGGATAGCATTTCCATATGGAGAAGCAGATGGCCTCCCACCCGTTCAAAATGCAGGAAGCAGAAACCTCTCTTCCAGATCATTATGTTTACAACCTATCAATTCTCTCAGGTTATGTTCTTTTGGGGGAGAATTATGCCATGAAATGGTTCTGAAATACAGGAAAGACACCTAAAGTCGCCACAAACTTGCATGCTCTGGGAGAATGTCCAGGATGTCCTTTCCCTGCTCGGGCCCCTGCCTCTCCAGCTCAGTCTGGGTATGTATTAAGCAGAGTGAACCACATGGTGTAGCGGCTATCTGTCAAAGGTAGCCATACCACGTGTTCCAATTCTGAAGGTTTTTCTGTTTTTTTTTTTTTTCTTTCGAAAGTGACAGGCAAAGAAGTCATTCCAAGACAGACTGCTAATTTACACGTTTCAGGCTGTGACAACAGTGTGGAGGGGTGGTAAAGGGAATGACTTGATCCTAGAAGTTTCCATATTGCAAGTCTCATGCTTTGGGTTCAAGCCTCAGACCTCATCAGTGACACATGCTGGTGTTTCAGTTGGTAAACTCTCACCTATGGGAAGTTAACAGAGCTACTCACCCAACTAGAAGGGGCTCACTTCACTTTTAAGTGTTGAAATGTATGAGACTCACCGCTAACTGTCAAGTGCTGATATGTCATGGGCCATCACTAGGAAAACCACAGATACCAACACCTCTAACCTTTCCTACTACTGACTGGCACCACCTTATACCCTCCCTTCCACTCCTAATCCATGCTTCCATCAGAGATGTCTGCTGAGAAGCAAGTCAATCAGGCCCACGCCCAAAGCCACTGGTCCACACTGGTGGCTACTTTTCAGTCTCATTTGTGTACATTCTATCGAATTCTGGGAAGCAGTTTTCTAATAGTTTGTGTTATGAATGATGATTTTTGAAGTGGCACAGACAACTACCATTGAAAAACCTAGTAAAGTCACTCTGTGGAGATCTTAAGTTAGCAATGTGACAGAGGAGTTCGTACCCATATCTCCCACAAACCTCAGAAGCAAAGCCACAGTTTCCTCTAACCACAGCACACTGTCTGTCACATGATCACTCCCCTGTCATGACTTGTACTCTCATGAAAGAGGAAGAGTTGAACCATTTTCATTGGGAAAAAAAATCACTGCAAGTAGGCTGGTGAGATGGGTAGAGGCACTTGCCAGTAAGCCTGACCACCTGTGTTGGAGCCCAAGAAGCCACATGGTGGAAGGACAGTACCAGTACCCACAAAACGTCCTCTGGCATCCACACACACACACACACACACACAGAGAAATGATGTTTGACAAGTTTTTGTTTTGTTTTGGGTTTTTTATCATGATAACAATACCCATGCTCGTGCAGCACAACCAGGCTACTGAATGTCCTAAATGTGGGCAGCCTAAGAAAGGAGTAAGTTTGAAAACTACAGAACATCTATGCTGAGCATTATAGAAACTCGCTGCAGTGCACCAAGAGGGAAACGTGAAAGCTGACTGAAACAGGAAAAGCCGCCAGACAACCCTACCTTCCTTTATGTAACTAATTGTATTTGCTATATACTGTCACCATACAAATTAACTGCAATGACAGACAAAGTGGATCCACTGCCAACTTCTGGCTACATGATGAATTTGGTTAGCCTTCCAAGGAAAACAGTACAGAAATTGCCACTACATGCCAACTCTAAGCATGTCACCAAGTGCTCTTGCGGCTAGACTGTGCCCTTTGTGTGGATGACCAACCTTTACTCACTATGGTCAGGCACTATAATAGGCCAATAGTATTCTCTTCTTCTGCCCTTTAACTGACAAACCGAAAACCAGAACCACATTTGATATGGTATCTAATAATGGCCTGGGGATAGAGGGGTAGAAGCCCCCACAAGCTCCGGCTTAGAACATCCGGAATGTAAGCTCAATTACTAAGAGTCGGGAGTTTGGGGGTGGGGAAGATAACATTCCTACAGAGAACAAGTATAAACTTCGTTCGCAGTAAGGTAGAGGTGACCCTGACAATAAACCAGTTCTTTCACCCAGAGAGAAATGCAGGGCAGGACTACCCGAAAGCCTGGGATGTATACTATGTCTCAGCTCATTCTCCCAGAACTCGCACAGGCCTCTCATCTGAAGATGCCATAGAAACACAAACAGGAACGGCAGTGATTTTGGTTTCTAAGCACTTGGCGTATATGAGCATATGACGCAAATGCTACTCCTTTAATTCTTCTTCTCCAATCAATAAAGGGTACAATTATCTGAGGGTCAAGAGCCTGTTCAGCGAAAATTCCAATGGTCATTTGCAATCTCAGGACCCTTGACTGACAAAGGCTCCATTCTTGGGAATCTCATCATAGACATGCATGGTGCCATCCTCCCTTTATCTTGATGACAACCACCCGGACACCAGAAGCTCACACCTTGCTTGAGATGCACACCAGAAGCTCACACCTTGCTTGAGAAACATGGGCAGACGTGCACCAGGGAGAGATCAGGGAGGAAATGGAGCTGAGACAGGGTCTATACACTTACTCTGATTTTGCAAAGCTGCCTCAGCTTTCTCCACAGTCACCAAGAGACTTTCAGAAAGGTCCTTTCTTTGGGCCACTATTGAAAAGCCATTCCAGACGTACATCATTTCCTAAGGAGGGAAGAGAGAAAACCATATGTGAGGTGTCTGCTAAGACCTCAACATGACAGTCAGGATCTTGTTCCAACTTTTCTTCATTTGGAATTTAATGACATAATTTCCATGGGTTTACTATGTGCCTGTTGTCTTCCATGCTCTGAGGTAAGTAAGCATATATCTTATACTCTTAGTAAAATCATCAATTTGTTCATTCAACAAATACACACTATCTACTAGCATATAACCCTTTGGATAGACTATACAGAAGCAAAATAATATTTTAAACTGACACTATGAACAATTTTGTTTAATGTAATTTTTTGTTGTTACTTTTAAGGGAAATATTTTAAAATGTCTGCTAGTTGTTTACATAAAGTGTTTCCAAGCATATCACTAGAAATGATCATTGGACTATTTATTTTACTGGGCTCAGGTTCCTTTATATCATTAAAAACATGTGTCGGCCCAGTAATACGATCCAATATGCAGAAAGCACGTTTGTTTAAAGGCCATATGGCTGAATGACAGCTCCTGAAATGTAAACTAATGACTTCTCATTGCAGATTATATTTAATGGGCTAACAGATGAGAATTTTTTTTGGATCAAAAGCAAATGTGTTTTTGCTTGAAAATATTTTTCTAATGTCCAGATAGTGCAGTTCATATTTTGAAGGGTATATGATGAGCATGAATTTTAAATTACAACAGATATTGTTTGAGAATCCTCTTAGCCAGAGAAGCCATAGAAAGGAGGCAGTGTATGACAGAATCAGGTTTGCTTTATGGCACTGGAAGCTAGGAGCACAATTCAGTAATGATATTTTTAAACCGATAATTTAAATTTTTTATGGCTGTAGTATTTAGCAAGGAGAGAGGCAAGCTTGGTTTGAAATTTTTAGGAAAAACAGGCTATGCCGACATCCTTAGGTATGACTGAATCTAGTCAATTCTTCATTGAGTCATTGTATACTCACCAACCTTCAGGGATTCAAAGCATGACAGAGCCTTATACACACCAGTATCTAAGTACTGATATAGACAAAGAAACACAATAGTCCAGTAAAGTTTCTGGGAAGTTGCTTGATACACAACCTTCCCAATGCAAACCACTTGATATCAATGAATGCGGAACAGGCCTAAAGCTAATTAAGGCACCAACAGGCATCAACTGGGAGAGGGCGTTTGCGGTCTCTGTGTTTAGCACAGTGTTCTTGTTATTGTCTGTGCTCAGGACACAATTATAGGCCCATCACATTTCTATCTCACCATGTCAGTCTAGTCTTGATGGTCTGTGGGAAACACCTGGGTCTGGTTGCTAGCTGTAGATTAGCTCCTATCTGACCCCTGTCAGGGGCTATATTCTTATTCCACTTAAAATACACAAAAAGCAGCTGGGCATTGGTGCTGCATACCTTTAATCCCAGCACTTGGGAGGCAGAGGCAAGTGGACCTCTGTGAGTTCGAGGCCAGCCTGGTCTACAGAGTGAGTGCCAGGACAGGCTCCAAAGCAATACAGAGAAACCCTGTCTCAGAAAATCAAACAAAAACAAACTAACAAATCCCAAAAAACAAAAAGAAAAGAAAACAACAACAAAATACATGAAAAACTTCTAAGAGTCAGCAACAAAACAAAAATAATTCAATAAGACTGAAGAAGGATATGAACAATGACACAGGATAAAAACGAAAATGAATGAGCACATGAAGACACCCAGAAGTGTTAGCATAGACACTCAAATTAAAAGGAAGCATTATCAGTCATTTGAATTGATATAGTATGGGGGGGGGCTAGAAATTTAATGTTATCTACCCAAACATTAACACATAGCCTTCAACTAAGAATTCCATTTCTTTGGAAACATTCCCAGAGAACTACATACATGTACATGCAAAATATGTAGCTTGTCTACGACAGAAAAAAAAAAAAAAAAAAAAAAAAAAAGCTGGGAAATGCCACATAACTTTTAAATGAGAATGATTAAATAATCGCCTAACTTACAAAAGGCTCACAGAACCAACCACAGAAGAGGACTGTGACACTGGGGTGCACTGAACACATTGCTGTGCCATGGCCGGAGAGTCATAGTGGTGTAGCATATCCAGCACTCTCAAAAGAAGGCTTTATTTTAAAAATTCAGGTCAAACTGTGTTTTCACAGAGGCTTTGCCAAAGCAGTGAGGTGATTAGGAGGGTGAGCTCCAACAGGACCGGAGCAGCCAGCAGCCCAGGGCCCTTCCACAGTAGAACACGCTAGTCCAAAAGGGGTTCCTCTCTGATGGGAGAGCCATGTCTATAAAAGGTAACGATGCAAAAGGGCATGGCGCAGCTTAGGGATGAGTTTCCGTTGTTTACAATTCCAATATCAAAATGGTAAAGTTTTGCTTACATGGGTTAGATGTATTTTAGGGGTGGGGAAGGCAGCTGGTATTGTCAGACAGGCAGGGTCTCATTTTTTAGACCAGGCTGGGCCTCAAATTTCCAGCAATTCTCTGGCCTCAGCCGCCCAAGGGCCAGGATTACAGATATGAGCCACCATGCACAGATTGAACAAACTATATTCTTGAAAAATTATTCCTTAAAGGTTTCCTTTTACTTTTTTATATAGCTATTAGAAAATGTAAAACTGCCAGGAACATGGGTTTCAGTGAGGAAACCTCGGAAATCTACGGGACCTCCTGTAGTAGTTCAGTACTTATCCCTAGCATAGGTGTGGACTTTGGGAATACTCCACATAGAGGAATACTCCCTGAGCCAAGACACATGGGGGTGGGCCTAGGCCCTATTCCAAAGGATACGATAGACCCTGATGATACCCTATGAAAGCCTCACGATCCAGGGGGAGCAGAAAGGATATGTGATAAGTAGGGTTTTAGTTGGGGGAGGGAGAGGGAACTGGGATTGTCATGTAAAACAATCTTGTTTCTAATTCAAATGAAAAAATCTTCAAAAAAAAAGAAAATGTAGAACTGAATTTGTGGTTTGTTTTGTAATTCAATTCTACTTTAGTGAAGTCATCTTTAGGAACCCTTTAGGCTCAAATTTCCTCATCTGAAATATGGAACTCAGACTATACTTATCTTTACAATAAAAAATCAAATGACATAATTTTTTTTTAATTTGCCTTTATCACAATGTCTAGAACATACTAACTAATCAAAAAGCCTCAGGTAAAATTTTTAGTATTTTAAAAAGTAACTTATGTATAAATATAAGAATCTACAATAGTTCTTCACTGAGCTATAAGCTTCACAACCAAAAGTAAATACATTCCTTAATGCTCTCAATAGAGAATTTATCTCTAGTATATAAACAGTGAATAAAAGTGGATACCAGAGCTGGCAAGACGAGCTTCCCCGGGGCACCTGAGGATGGTGAGTACCGACGTGCCTTCCTCACAGCGAACTTCTCAGTTGGGAGAGATTTCCCTGCGATCCTCTGCTTTAAGCCATCTACCTGTCTGTGAAGATCCCATGGAAATGCCAGTGAGCCTACATATTATTCACAACTGAGGTTTTCATGCCTATATCCTAGGCCAGTAACAGCCAGAAACCTGTTCCAAATGCACATTATTGGGTGCTACCCCAAACTGAATCCACAGTTCTAGGGCTGGAACCAGCAATCTCGATTAGGATGTACATTCAAGCAATACAGAGGCACAATTCTGAGAGCCACTAATTCACAAATTTCCTTCTAGTCAGCTTAGCTAGTGTCTTACAGCTGCCAAACACAGTCCAGCCTAGGTATAAAATTGTCAGTTTCCATAAATAAGTACAGAAGAGAAGGGAAGCGTGTAAATTAGTACATTTCCTCTTCCTCTCTGCAGATATTGCAGATGTACAACATAATGTGTATCAGAAGACAGCCATCCATCTATGCAAATCTGAGAAAACTAACCAAACATATGTAATTTTGTAAATAATCATTTTAGGATTTAGCATTTTCAAAATTCTAAGGAATTTGGACTGGGAGATGACTCAGTAAGAGTGCTGATTGGGCAAGCATAAAGAATTGAGTTCAAATCCCTAGAACCCAGGTTGGTTGGTGCATATGCCTGTGACCCAGTGAAATGGGAAGGTGGAGACAGGAGATAAGAGGGTCACTGGGATTTGCTGGCCAACAGCTTGGCTCCAGATGTGGTGAGACCCTGTCTAGAGGGAATAAGGCAGAGAGTAGTAAAGTGAAATTCCTACATGTCTGTGTATGTACATATACTCCTACACATGATGCATGCATACACACACACACACACACACACACACACACACACACACACACAATCTAAGCACATGAAAATGAAACTAAGATGGAGACTACATGTTCATGGGGAAAGACTACATTGTTTGGGGGGTTTCTTTTGCATAATTTTATGAATGCATAAACAAGGGAAAGGATTCGAGAAAATATCCGATTATATCAATGAAAGAATGAAACAAGGAGGAAAAAAACCCCAGTGTGAAAGCCCTGGTAATTAAACCCTAATTCTAGAAAACAAATATAATGGCATGTTTTCATGATTCCCTGACATGCACACACATCAGAAAATAATGCTAAAGAATGACATGCTGGGCTTTCAGCTAAATGTATTATTGTAAGAGTGTCCATACCAGTGAGCCGAGGAATTAAAAACTATGCAAGTGGAGTGTGAAGGGCAAAAGTCCTGTGTCTAGCACCCCCAGGACACCTGTGACAGAAACAGTGCCATGCTCACCTGAACAGAGCCACCACATTCTCATTAGTCGTTGCCACATCCTCCTCTGGAAGCATGCTCAGAATGGCAGCTTTCAAGAACACATAGGTTGCCTTGAAGAAACAAAGTCAAGGGCTCACTAGAGAACATGACATTTTAACCTCGCAAACTGCAAACAGAAGTGACCTGGAAACCTTCCATAAACACGTTACAAGGTATCAAGGTTAACTGCCTGTTTCAGTGGGGTCCCAGCACTAAGAGGGGTCAGTGAATATGGGGCCCCACCCCTAGCTAAGAAACTATATGTAACTGATACCTGCTTGGAAAGGGAAAAATCTGTTTCCTACAATGCAGTGAGTGACACTGGGTATACTGACCACACCCCAGGGCAGGATGTAATACCATGTCTAGGAGTAGCTGGTCAACATAAAACAAATTCTATGTTTGGAGAGATTTTTGCTTTGTTCTGAGACTTTTGGTTTACTGATCCTTTGTGTGTTTTGATTTTCATTTTTGTGATTTATGGGTTTGTTTTTTAAGGAAAGGGAGAAAACATGAAGTTGGGTGGGTGGGGAGGATCTGGGAGGAGCTGAGGGAGGGGAAACATGATAAAAGCACACTGCATAAATGAAATTTTTAAATTAAAAAACAAACACGGGCTTCAGCTCTCTGCTCTAACTGAAGTGCTGAAACGTGCTGATGAAGCTGGATCCAATGACAGGTCTTCAATCCCAGCACTTGGGAAGCGTAGGCAGGAGGTTGCACCACAAGTTCAAGGTCAACCTGGGATTCATAGTGAGCTCCAGACTAGCCTTGGGTACAAAGTGAAATTCTGTCTCAATAAAACAAAAGAAAAAAAAAAAAACCAAAAATGAAAGGACCATGTCATCACAGGTGGGAAAGTGGACAGAACAAACAACAGAAGATCATGATCTCCTCCTCCCAACTTCTCAAAGGGGGTTCAGAATTAACTCTAGTCATCACCAAAAGCTTCGTCACAGGGTACTAAAAGTCTACAAAAACCACCCAGAGTACAATATTGATAAAATGACTGTAAACCTACATGCAGCTTATCCTGGCAGTAAAATGCCTCTGTCGCAGAGCACTCTGGGGGAATTTTTTACACTGGGAATGCTGAGGACAATACCTGTGACTGTGCACTAGCTACTCACTGCACACTTCCTCCTCCTACAGTCTCTACATCGAGAAAAGTGCCCATGCCATGTTCTTGAAAAATCAATCGTAAATGACAAACCACTGTGGCCACGAAGCAAACAGAAGACACCGACAAAAGTAGGACACTTTACCTTGGACCATTTACTCTCTTTGCAAAGTAGGTCTGAATAATAATACGCCTGCATCCAATTTTGTTGATATATAAAAATCCACATTAATTCCCAGTAACAGAGATGGTGAAACTGTTTCCACTCTTCTTGAACTGCAATGCATTTTCGAAACGTTTCTTGAGCCTATAAGTCAATTGCATAAACTGATCATGCAGATATTAAACAAGGAGATAATAACCTAATGGAAAAATACATAAACACTTTGTACAGAAAGAAGAAATCATCACTCATTAAGCCACTCAATATGACAATATATATTGGATCCTTATGTGTGGTGATACAGTTAGATTCTGCCGAGTTACTTCACTTTGTGGAGGTACCTTGTACTTTATAACATAAGAACAGGAAAGCCCCTTTCCAAGTGAGAAAGAAATGTCAAAATTCTTTCATAAAACACAGACTATAACAGTATAAGAACCTCCTTGAACAAAACACACTTTAAACAAAATTCCAGGCCCTGGGTAGGCAAAGAGAAAGCATTGCAGATCACAAATCAGCAAAAGGTTAACTGAGCCCTTAACAGAAAAATTGGTAAAGATGTAACCAGGCAAATCATAGGAAAGAATCAATAATTGATAAACATACAACAAATTGACAAACTGGTTCATTAGATTTGAAACTTTGGGCTAGGAATGTAGCTTGGTGGCAAAGCATGTGCCCAGCATGCACTAGACCCTAGATTTCACAAGCACAACAAATAATAATAGTAATAAAATTAAGTTAAACATTCAACTCGTTTTTTGTTTTATTTTGTTTTGTTTTTTACATTTATGGTATGGGCAAAAATAAAAGGACAGAGACATCTAAAGCTGACAGAGAACACTGGAAACATAGAATCTCACGTTTAAAAATGTATTAATTTGGGGCTGGAGAGATGGCTCAAAGGTTAAGAGCACTGGCTGCTCTTCCAGAGGTCCTGAGTTCAATTCCCAGAACCCACATGGTGGCTCACAACCATCGTAATGAGATCTGGTGCCCTCTTCTGGCCTGCAGGGATACATGCAGGAGGAATGATGTATACACAATAAATAAATCTGTTTTTAAAAAAATGTATTAATTTTATGTGTATCTGTGAGTGACTGCACATGCATTATACCACATGCATGCCTAGTGTTCACAGAGGCCAGAAGAGGGTGTCAGATCCCTTGAAACTAGAGTTATAAGCAGGTGTGAGCCACCTGATGTGGGTACTGGGAATGGAACCTGCAAGAACAACAGGTGCTCTTAACCACTGAAGCATCTCTCCAGTCTCAGTTTCTCATTTCTTTACAGAAGTTTAAGTTGAAAGATTCTTAAGTAAGATAGGTAATTTGCCTGGATGATGTAAATGCAATCACCATCTGACCCAGAATTTGATACCGATGTATTTGTACACAGAAATGTACACATGGTGATGGTTTAGTGGCCAATCACTAGTAGCCACTTCAGTGCATTTAAATATCCATCTCATGAAAGGAAATACAGCCATCAAAATGAACAGAGGGAGACTTAAATATTCTGACCAAGAGGAAGATCTAGGGTTTAATATAAATAGGAAAAAATGTTTGCTCTTATCCGTGAGGAAGGGTATCATACACACACACTCACACACACACACACACACACACACACACACACACACACACACACTTACTTCTCTCTTCTACTTCAAGGGAATTCATCAACTAGTCCCTTTGATGAGGAACCAGGGCAGTTGCATCACAGGCAAAAGGTAGGTTCCAAAATCAACATAGAAACAGACAATAGTCAAAGTTTTCTGGAACCCCTTAGATTGACCATATGTTATATTTTATACATTCTGCCATGAACTATTTTGTGTACTTTATTTATAAACATGCACTGAAGTACTAAATATAGCAATCTATATGCACAAAGTAAAAGCTTGGCTTTTCAGAATTACGTTGCCTGTTTCTTATTTTTTTCCAAGTCCATGTAGACAAATTTACTTATGCTGAATGACGTGTGATGCAACCTGGCCGCATAGACACTGCCCCTAGATAACCCTTGATGAAATAACTACCTTTTCAACGTTGCCTTTCAGCAGCTCGATTCGGGCATGGTAGAACAGTATGAGTGAGCCCTGTGGAGAAAGGAAAGAACACACTTCAACAGACAATGGCGGCTGATGAATCATGGCTGAGACAGACACTGGAACAGTAAGCATACATTTGGGAACTGTTGAAGGAAGGGTGCAAGGAGACTCTCTGCTTCCACAACATTCACTTCTCCTGTACCTAGAAATTGAACAGACACGGTTCAGTGCTCACGAAACATGGTACATATTTACAACCAACTCCCCAAATGTCAGTAATATACAACAAACACTCACAGACAAGAAGGAAGTGATTATTTTGTCTTTGTTTTCATATGAGAAGCTTATGACTTAAAGAGCTCTAGGGCAGACAAAGTCTTAAGAATGGAGGTGGCTACCTCAGATTCCTACTGACATTTTTATTTTTCAAAGCAATGTTAACTTATTTTACCTCCAAATTTAATTTTATTTAAAAAAATCTTGAAAATCTAACATGGATGTGGTAAAAAATTCAGCAGCCAGTTACATAAATCTTATCTAAGAATAGATTTTAAAATGCACAGTGAGGTATTAGAGAGATGGGTCAGTGGTTAAGAGTGTTGGCAGCTTTTCCAGAGAAACCAGCTTCACTGAATTCTTAGCGCCCATGTGGCCGCTCACAGTCACCTGTAACTCCAGTACCAGGGGATCCAATGCCCTCTTCTGGCCTCTGTGGGCACCAGGCATGCATGTGGCACACAGACATACATGCAGACCAAACTTATAAAATAAATGCGTAAACAAATATAAGTAATGTTTAAAAATGCTCATTGAAAGCAACCAGTCAAGTGTCTCTACCAAAGATCACCATAACAAATCTCATTATCTTCCAACTCAAAAACATTGAAAGCAAAAGCTGGAGACTACTAGCTCTTACCAAGAATCAGGGAGATGTAGGTATGAAAAGCTAGGATGGTAAGGCAACAGAGTGGGGACCGCATGCTGCTTCCTGACGCACCTTCCCGTAGCTGCAGAAGGCCCAGGTCCTGCAGAGAATCATTGCATCACAGAAAGAGAAAAATCTGACTAAAAAAAAGTACATTTAGAAATTTTCACATTTATTTTTTACCAGCTTGGAATAGTGGTACTATTTAAACAGAAACAAGCTTCTCGTTTTAAACCGGCAGAAGACAATCTGGTAAATCCTTTTAAACTATCCTAGTTAGCTTTATTTGTCCATGTAACACAGACTAGAGTCACCTGAGAGGAAAGCTTGCACTGAGAACTTGCCAGGTTCAGACTGGTCTGTAAGTACGTTTGATAGGGATCATGCTTGATACAAGAAGACAGCCCACTGTGAGTAGCACAATCCCTAGGCAGGTGGCGAGAGCTGTATAAGAAAGCTGTCTAAGCATGAGCCTGAGCAATCAATACAGCAAGGCAGCAAACAGACTTTCCCACAGTTCCTTCCTCCAGGTTCCTGCCTTCAGTTCCTGCCTTGACTTCCCTCAGCGATAGACTGAAACCTGAAAGTGTAAGGTGAAATAAACCTTCCCCTCCCATATACTCTATTTGTTCAGAGTGTTTCATCACAGCAACAGAGATCAAACTAAGCTTTATCTATTATGTTTTTCTAGAGAGAGGAAGAAACTGCTCATTTCCAAGCAATACTGCATTTCTTTGATAAAATTATTGATTTTTGAGTTGGTAGGAACTTGTCTCAATGGTAGAGCATTTACCCAATGGTATGTAAAGCCAGGCCTGGGTTTCATCCCCAGCACCACAGAAAACTATACTGAGGTCCAAGCTCCAAGGCACTATGATGGGCAAGAACTCAGGCCCGCAGAGGCCTGCCACCCAGCGGGGAAGGTGGGATAGGAACTCACTATTTTATGGGAACAGAGTGAGCACCATCAGAACAATGAGCAAATGAGTCTGGGTGTTAGAAACTCTTGAGCTTCATTGGCAAGTCTGAGGAAGCACTCTGTGGAAGAGATAGCACTCATCTCAAACTTGTGAAATGAGGACCTCTTGAAAGAACATTTGAAAAGCTGTTGGGAAAGAACTCTATAACAGAGAAAGGCAGAAATTTCTGTCAAAGATTAAGACAAAATGTTGTTTGTACCCTGTTTCCAGAAAATCCAATAAATTCTAGCAATCTGATAATTCTTGCTGGTAAAAGGGACAGCATCTGTAAGAAAAAATAGAAGCGTGAGGGCACTTAAGGGTTAGAAACTTTAACTGTAGACAACAGGATGGTTAGCCCTAAACTGGTTACAAGTTCAAAAGCTCCCATAAACCAAACCAAGTTTAAACTGGCTGTGACTCAGTGAGGAGACAATAAAGTCTGGCTCTTCCATGATCCTCTAAGCACTGGCTTGGCTCTTGTGTGAAATGGAGTGACATGAAAGTAATTGTAGGTGAGGCTTCTTTCTTTTTTCCCATTTTGCTTTGTTTTGTTGAGATAGGGTCTCATCTGTAGCTTAAGCTGGACTTGAACTTGCAGTGACCTCCTGCCTCCCAAGTGCTAGATTACAGGCACGAGCCACCCACCACTCCTGGTTTGTGCAAGGTTCCCTTCAGCTTGTTCTGGAAAGTACAAACCTAAGGTAATGTGGGTGATGTTCCATCACTAAAAGAAGTAGGCAGCCGCAATAGCTCAGCCCCTTCCTGGGATGTCCCTGAAGGAAAGTGGAGAAGGGACAGTCTCCCAAAAATGGCCTTATGCAGAGTGACTAACTGTTCTTGGCTGTAGCCAATGGGCTGGGGCTACATGGCCAGGGGCTTAGGAGGAAGGAAGAGATTTTGGGATATATCCCCTGAATAGGAGACACTGTGTCCCAGGCTAACAGACAAACCGACAGAATGGGCAGTCTTTGGAGACAAGTCAGCCCGCCCCGACACTGACCAATGCACATGGGCTCATGAACATAGCCCTGGGGTGGACATGCTCCTAAACATGACTCTTTTCACTACTTCATCTTCTAACCAGTTAAACCTTGTAAAAATTTCTAAATCTCTAAATAGCACATTGTATTCTAACAGCCTTACTCAGACTCTGCATCTACCCAGAGATCATAAACAATAGTTCATAAGTTACACACCTCCTGCCCTGTCTTCAACTCCAGAGCCATCATTATCATGACAAAAATATCTCCAATGCAGAAACAACTAGATTCTAGGCTCCTCATTAATAAAAGCCACTCAGGGTGCTACATGCTCCCCTTGTCCTTTGCAATCTAAAGCTACTCTGAGCATGTGCAAAACTTTGTAACGTTCACAGCACAGAAAACTGGTCCAGTCCAGGGGCTCATCAACCAAACACAGGTAGAGGTTTGGGATGATGTTCAAACAGAGATACTAGACACTTGGTTTCATCTACAAAAGGTTCTAGTTTCCATATAAATGTTTCCTTACCAAATTAAAGGCTCCTGTTCCAAGCTTGACACCTCCTTCAAACTCATAGAAGAAGTGCTGCTCATGTTTGTTTTTTTGAATTACGTGCAGAATAGAAAGGCACTCTCTGGGGTGAGAAAAAAGACAGAGCATCAGTCACACCAAGTTTTCTACTAGTATAATATAAATATACAAATATACTATAAATATGCAAATTGTATATTATAAATGTCATTACCTAAAATATTATAAAATACAAAATATGGTTTTAAGCCCATCTGCTCCTAAAGCTACTAGGTAATTCCCACTAAGGAGAAAGGAAACACCCATTTTTACAATGTTTAGGAGGACAGTGTTTGTAAACTTAAAGAAAAAGAGGGATCAACCATCAGCAAGCTCAACTTAGGAGCCACAGAACCTTGAGCTTCAACTTCACAGCTTCCCTGGAGTGTTTAGGTCTCCACCACTACAAACACTTCACAGCCCTGCCTTCCACCCTGAAACTCTGGTGCTGCAGGCAAAAAGATTTCAGTTCCCTGCAGTAGATGCACCAGGGCTTGCTGACACTACTCCCATCACAACTGCATCGTTTGTCTTCTCTTTTCCCTTTGCAGAAGCAAAACGGCGGTGGCGGCGGCGGTGGTGGTAGTGGTGGTGCTGGTGCTGGTGGTGGTGATGGTGGTGGTGATGATGGTGATGATGGAGGTGCGGGTGATGATGGTGGTGTTGATGGTGTTGATGCTGGTGGTGATGGTGGTGATGGTGGTGATGGTGGTGGTGGTGGTGCTGGTGATGATGGTGGTGGTGGTGATGGTGATGATGGTGGTGGTGGTGGT